ATTTTTTACGTGGTCTCCATTTACGCAACACGCTTCGCATATCTTTCGCTACTCTGACTTTAGATGCAAATTAATTTGGATATATCAACAAAGTTGAAATGGTAAATTGGCCACCGTAATGATTACAAAAGCTGACATTTCAAGTGTTAGCCCTTCGTCGTAATTATTTCGTTACTCCCACCGACGCAGCCCCAAACAGTTTCTTTCGAAACTATCAGCCTTTATTCATTTAGATGCGAATACCTAGACAACCAATCAGAATATCGGAAAAGCCTGACGCAGTTTTGTTGATTGATGCATTGTGAATGAGACTGTGCAGCCATTTTTCTTGTGCTGTAGGATCCGATACCCAATAAATTCAATAGAAGGACTCTTGGCTTTTTCACACCTTACCGGCTCCTGACACTTCCTAAATGAAAAAATCGCCTAAAGTATATTTTCAATGTAAACTGCATTTACTAAGCTCTGTTTTGAAACATGTATAGTTTGTTAGGGTTTTCTTCAAACTAGCGCGCGTACAAATTTTTTCCCGAAGGACACCTGTGAAGGTAGGAAGTAACCTTAACTCCCAAGATCTAATTGTAAATTCTGCCCTTTGGCTGCTACACATTTCCTTGTAAGTAGGTTACGAGAATTTGGTGTACAATCAAGGTGACAACTTCTACCTGATAAGTTTGAGTATTCTCATTATCTGTTTGCTGGATAATGTATGAAAATACAGTGGTTACTTAGCATAACCACTGTATTTTCCTTGAATCTTCACCATGTGTTTTAAATAACATCTGAACTTAAAAATTGATTCGGATAGATATGCTCAATTTATTGATTCTCTTTAACATTTAATAAATATCCTTGAATTACTCAAATTGAAGACGATTTCAACTGAAAACTAAAAGGAAATTCGCTGATAACATACATGATTGTATAGTTACAGTAATATAGGACTGAAGTTTGATTTATATCCATACGTGATAAGCTAAATTCTGATCGGATTTAACATGAAATGAATCTTAACGATAGGTACATTGAATTTTATCTATCCATACAAAGAGTGAACCGGGGATAGACCGAGAAATAAAAAAAAAATAACGAGGCACTTAAGTTGTCTAAAAGCTAGCTTACCTCGTCTTCGGATTCATTGTGTGGAACGCCAAAAGAGCTTCGAATTTCGACAGAAGTCTTGTCAACAGTTCCAAGAAGTGTTCCTATGACTCTTTTGGCGTCTTCTGAACGTCTTTCAAAACCATCCACAATCGAAAATAACACTACGGGATGAACAAACACTTTTCTAGCCCTCACCGTCTCAGACAGCGCCATTTTGAAATCGACTCACGTGGTTTCCTAAGTTACCAGCGACAGAGCTGAATAATGAAATGTTACGTCAGAGGGTACGCGGTCAAAACGCGGGCTCAAGTGTCTTTGGTCTAAAATGTAGCGAAATTAGCGGAAAATAACAAGGGCTGACTTTTAAAACCGAGGAACTCTGTTTTAGTCGAAGGCATCTTCCCTTTTCCAGAGGGTTTAAGGAGAAAATTAATTTTTAAAATTTTTATGGGGTGTACCAAGTTTTTGGAGGTTGTTCTGTAAAAGAATAGCGGCAAGGAAAACTACGCCTCGAAGCAACAGAGTAGGAAATCAACCATGCGAACGACTCAAAATTCGTGTTTCCGCGGCAAAACTTAGCGCATGTGTATACGTTATTCAGCTCTGTCGTTACCAGGTTGACTGGGTCCATTTTGCTAGCTGAGCCTTCGATCTGTGAATTAGAGGTCAGCATTTAAGATTAAAAGTACCCTTTCCAGGTTGGTCAAGGATTTGTGTAAGACTGGGGAGAGATTTTTGTCACGTCAGAAAGGGAAGACTGACTCTATTTTCAGATAATTTTAGCTAAATATACCCGTTATCCCCCACGCATCCAGTTTATGTTTTATCAGTTCAGGGATATGGGACAGCCCAAAGAAAAAAGATAATCGAGTAACAGAATACGTGAGTGCCACCTGTAATGGGGAAAAATACGGAAAAATAGTATAGGAATAGACCTCTTTCTGCCCACTAATCGTAAAAATGAAAAAGGTAAAGGGGTCCAAACTAAGATACCAAATGAAAATGCCTATTCGAAACTGTTAGAGAGGTGGAAATGACAAAATGATGACAAGATCGCTGCGAAAAATGCTTGCACTAATAATGAGTNAGGCACTTAAGTTGTCTAAAAGCTAGCTTACCTCGTCTTCGGATTCATTGTGTGGAACGCCAAAAGAGCTTCGAATTTCGACAGAAGTCTTGTCAACAGTTCCAAGAAGTGTTCCTATGACTCTTTTGGCGTCTTCTGAACGTCTTTCAAAACCATCCACAATCGAAAATAACACTACGGGATGAACAAACACTTTTCTAGCCCTCACCGTCTCAGACAGCGCCATTTTGAAATCGACTCACGTGGTTTCGTAAGTTACCAGCGACAGAGCTGAATAATGAAATATTACGTCAGAGGGTACGCGGTCAAAACGCGGGCTCAAGTGTCTTTGGTCTAAAATGTAGCGAAATTAGCGGAAAATAACAAGGGCTGACTTTTAAAACCGAGGAACTCTGTTTTAGTCGAAGGCATCTTCCCTTTTCCAGAGGGTTTAAGGAGAAAATTAATTTTTAAAATTTTTATGGGGTGTACCAAGTTTTTGGAGGTTGCTCTGTAAAAGTATAGCGGCAAGGAAAACTACGCCTCGAAGCAACAGGGTAGGAAATCAACCATGCCAACGACTCAAAATTCGTGTTTCCGCGGCAAAACTTAGCGCATGTGTATACGTTATTCAGCTCTGTCGTTACCAGGTTGACTGGGTCCATTTTGCTAGCTGAGCCTTCGATCTGTGAATTAGAGGTCAGCATTTAAGATTAAAAGTACCCTTTCCAGGTTGGTCAAGGATTTGTGTAAGACTGGGGAGAGATTTTTGTCACGTCAGAAAGGGAAGACTGACTCTATTTTCAGATAATTTTAGCTAAATATACCCGTTATCCCCCACGCATCCAGTTTATGTTTTATCAGTTTAGGGATACGGGACAGCCCAGAGAAAAAAGATAATCGAGTAACAGAATACGTGAGTGCCACCTGTAATGGGGAAAAATACGGAAAAATATTATAGGAATAGACCTCTTTCTGCCCACTAATCGTAAAAACTAAAAGGGTAAAGGGGTCCAAACTAAGATATCAAATGAAAATGCCTATTCGAAACTGTTAGAGAGGTGGAAATGACAAAATGATGACAAGATCGCTGCGAAAAATGCTTGCACTAATAATGAGTCAACTTCCCTTGGCAAGCAGTTTTTAAGACGATGTTCAGGACTCTGATGTGGTTCTGATCATGACCGATGACTCCTCCCACAAGCTCGGTAAATAATTAATGAAGAGAAGGATATAAATTTTTCAGTTGTTGTCGTCTTTGTACTAATTAAATTGATGTATTTATAATAATTTGTCGTAAACGTGAGGCTTGATATTATCGCCGTGGACATTCTTGTTTGAATCAGTGAAAGTTCTCCGAGAGCGCATCGCAATGGATCTTGTCATTGTGAATATCACTAGCATTCTGGCTTTCTTGATTTTCTTTCCAGTGACGACGAAAGGTATAGAGTTTTCAGTTTTTCTCTCAATTGTGTTTCAAGGTCGATTCTTTGTCCTACTTTATTTTCAATGGCGTGAAGGTGCCCCATCAACCAATTTTGCACACTGATGGCGTTTGTCTTCCCATTAAAGAGAAGCAGGAAACATTTGTCTCCAGTAATGCTATTAAACAACTGTTTCAGGGTTCAACTGTTCTTTCACCTAGCGGTATGAAACACTTGGGAATATTTGGAGAGCACGTAAGAAGCTAGAGTTCCATTTGTATTCATCTTACAAATCTCTTACGCATCTTTCGAGCTCAATGAACGCCTGCTGTCAGGTGTAGCAATTGTTAATTGTTAAGATTGCTCTTGATTATTTTGCACTTTTTTTTGTCGATCATCACAAAACAGGTCAACCAAAGACTATTGACGCACTTGGTAAAGGCATAGAGAGAAATGCTCACACTGGTGTCGCTTTTGCCAGGTTTAAAGCGCACAAACTTTCCTACCTGAATATAACAGCACTTGTGACAGACTATGTCCACAGCAGTAGAGAATGTGGACTTGCTTGTATAAACACACCCTCGTGCTTTTCTTTCAACCTGGCTGCCAACATCGATTTGAACAGGAAAATCCTATGTGAACTGCTTCGCTCGGACATCTTCAACAATTCGGACAAGCTGGTTGCCAATAGCCTCTTTCATCATTTCAGCATCTGGGTAAGAATTTTTTCCTTGGTTTTTTTCTTCTGTTTTCTTTTTTTTAAGAGAATTGACGGTGTTTTTCTAAAGATCGGTTTCGGAGTTCTGAGTCGATTTTTCACAGTAATTGCCTTGATGAAGCAAACCCCGGCTCGCTTTCAAAGGGAATATGAATAAAACGTCGACTTCAGCCTTTAAAGTTTGTGCAACATGTTATCGCCGGGTTTAAGCACCAAGATATATTCTCGTAATACCAAACATTTAGCTGGCTAACAAAAGTGGTGGTTACCATTCAGTGGGTCTTTTGTTTTGTTTTGTTTTGTTTCTTTTTGTGTCTTTCTTTTTTCTGACTTATATGAGGCAAGTAGGATATGAGTAAATAGGGAATCATCCTGTTTTCTAGATAACTCTCAATTCGCTTTTCAAATTACAGAGCCTTTGTTTTTCTAACTTAACTGAGGCAAGTAGGATCTGAGTAAATACGAAATCGTCCTGTTAAGACAACTCTTTACCACCAGTCAAGAGCCTTTGTTTTGGTGTTTTCCTATCTCATGTCAGAATATGGGTCTAAGCATCTTGCACTTACGGTTGCATCTTGTATAAAATGCAAATATACAATAAAAGTGATGAAAAAGAGAAAAACTCCT